GGCAATAAAGTTATATTCCATCTTGTCTGGAATCCATAATAAAACAGGCAAAGATTCATGGCAAGCCGATTCTATTCTACATACAGAGTGCCTGGATTAGACATGAGCTAACATTTTCACATCTGACAACTCAATAACATTCAAACTTGGATGTTAAGGGCAAGTGCTCCAGTTTGGCTCTTTACGTTTGCAGTGGGGCAAGGATGATCCTGGGACAATTTTAATTTTTTTTTTTAAATGAATAAGCTTTTAAGATTTTTTTTAAATTAAAAAATATTTCATTATCAGCTTTTGTGTCAGATGTAGCATCGATGCCAAACACTTAAGAGATAAGAAAAAATAAAGGAAATTAATAGCCCTGCAAACAAATAGCATATATGCGCACATTCAACAGTAAGTCCAACTACACAGCTGAAAAGCAAAAGCTGAGATACCTGCACCTTTCCATGCTGACCCAGGTTAACACACTGTTTGACTAGCAGTGGGCAGTATAAGAGACTTCTAAATATATTTTCGATCAAGTTTAATAGAATGGTTTGTATATAATTTAAGGAATGCTCTTGCCACGGATGCAAAACCTTTATAAGCCTTTAATACTTCCAATTTGTTCCCTGAAATAAAAATCACTGCGTGTCCCTCATCCTTTCTTTTAAATTCAGTAGCTCTGTTTTTCTTCTCTGCATGGTTGCATTCCACAAGGGCCAATATCACTAGCTTACATAATAATAAAGCCAACCTTGACACAGACAGCACTAATTAACAGACATAAAAACAACTCAAGCAGCCACACAACACAGACTAATTCTTGCTGCTGCAAATGCCAAAGACATCTCAACCAGCATTTCATGTGTGTTTGTGCGTAGGTGGAGCAATCAGTCATTCATCTCAATCTTGCACGTGTAAACAAGAAAATGTAAAACATGAAAAACAGAGATTACATCTTACCTCATTTAAATACACAAAAATAAAATTCACAAAAAAAAAAAAAACACACTCTAATATTCCAATTGAAGCTATGATCCCGGGAGAGTAAAATAATTTTAAATTGTTTCACCGCTGATACACTATCAGTCATACAGATACAGTTTAGCAAGAAGAAAAATATATTAAGCATAATTCATGACATGACCTCAGGCTTCCCCTAAATAACACATGCTACAGACTGACAGTCCAGTTCATTGTCATCATGCAGTCAACAAATCTGATAGACAGACTACTGAAAGATTCTCCAGCACAGAGGGAGCCTCCACATTATTCAGAATTCTGTCCTTCTTTATTCATAGTCCTGCTCCTTCCTTCACCCCTTGCACTGGATGTATGCCAGGAGAAAAGAAGGCTACAAGCAATTAAGTACAAATGTAGCCCTATGGCTCTCGCCTTTGCAGTGGCACCAAAACTGGCATCCCCACAAAGGAAATGCTTAAGGCTTCATTTTTCTCTATAGCGGATTTTGGGCCAGAAAGTTTTTGGGAATGCGTAAGATTGGGATCAGAAGATTTAAAGCCTATAAGCCGTAATTAAGAAATGCCAAACACGTATCTGCTTTAACTAGTGTTCTAAATTATGTAAGTGGAAATATTTTATCTTGAATACTTTTTGTTTGCTTGGTTAATAAGAAGAGATGACATTTAAATGTGATTTCCTTCCCAAAACTTTTTAGCAGCATCAGTTCACTCACTCATAACCATGGCAGCCGGCCCAGCGTCTAAGTGCAATCCTCTCTCAAATTCAGCATCCCCTCTTAGATTCCCCAGTTATTTTTTGGCTTGGAACTCCTGCACCTCTCTCCCCACCCCAAAGTGTATGTTTCAGGAAAGAAAGGAAGATCCAGAAGAAACTCTTTGCTTTTGGAGAGAGATTCTCAGTTAAATGGTTTTGAACATCTTGGGCTAAGAATTGTGCAATTCAAACAAAGCCATGGACAAATCGTATGCTTACCTCAGTTTTACAAAATGTACCATTGCATTTATACTCTAACAAGGTAGAGAACGCTTACAGGAAGATCAAGGCATTACTAACACACAAGGTAGTCTCACAACAATAAAGCAATCAACTTTCTTTTTTCAACAGATGCAGGTGTATTGCTAACGCGCACGACGGTGTTAATCCTCAACAGAATAAAATGTTAGAAAGAATGCATTATGCCACTGTGCTTCAGTGATAGCCAGAAGAAAACTTTATTGTAAGAACACATTCATATTCCACAAACAGGATTGAAAGCCATCAGCCTGTTCCATGTCACCAAATGGATTTCAAGCCTGTATATAGTCTAATTGATTTCAACAAGATTCTGACTTTACATCTGCAAGACTGAATACCCGATGATAACGCCAACATTTAAATCATCTTTAATTACCTTGAAAAAGCTTTAGATATGCTTAAAAGTAATACGAAATAGAGAACTACTGCATAAAGCCACAGGAATAACTCTGTTCTAAAGCAGATGTGAAGTTGGCACATAAAGTACGTATTGAAATGAATCACAGTGGAGTACACACGCCACCCTACACAAATTAAGGCTACCTAATTGTTTTGAGACATCATCTTCCCACCCACCAGCTCACTCTGAAATAACTAATTCAATTTTCATTTGCTGGGTAAAGTTGCCATCACACTATCCACACCCACATCCGACTCATATAAACTGTCTTTTAATAAGCAGAATCCAGAAGAGGTCAGAAATGGCCCTAGACAGGAAATGCCTGGGTGTATTCCATTTATGTACTGCAGATTACTCTTCTGTATGTAGACAGCCCAGGTCTGGGGTCACACTGTTGTACATATTTAATTTTAAATCATTCTCTGCTTAACCTGAACTACTGTTCTTCAAAGCTATTATAAAAAGGAACAAGAAAACTTATAAATTCACTTGCCCTACTGGCATTCACATCTCAGAATATTTCTGTTAAATCTAATTAAACTGTTATATACCTTCTATTTTTGATATTCTCACGAAATTAAAAATAAATCATTAAAATACATTAATGGAAACTTAAAATGGTTACTCTTCAACTCCACAGCCCCAATCCAAACTTCACCACTACTTTTTTACTATATCAGCATGAAATAGTAGCTTGCAATATGCAAGACGGTTCTCAGGAATATGACAGCACAAAGTTCTTCTGTACAGTGCACCTGGAACGCAATGTGCCTGACTATTCCCTTACAGTACTAATTGATCACACAAGTGTTTTAAAAAACGTTTCCTGAATGCCTCCTAGTGAGAAGTGAAATGCATCAACAGGATGTTATTTTAAAAGCAGAAATAATTGCTAGGGAATTAATAACTCGGACTTATGCAACACTTCTACAGCCAGTTGGAAACATTAAACCATGAAGTAATTTGCATCCTCATCTCTCAGCAGGGCACAAATGGAGACTTGCAAAAAGCCAATCTGCAGGTCAGCACATTCAGGAGGTAACAGCAGTTGCAAAAAGCTCCAGGCATCATAACACTAGCCTTTGTGGAACGGTTTGTTGGGTTTTTTTTAACTGCATCTTCTGACAAATATCAGTGGCAGTATTGCCAGGAGCAACACTTCAGAAGAGGTGCTTCCTCCAAGACCCTCCTGTTCAATCCATGTGCTAGAGAAACTGTTTTTAATCACGGCTGCTATGAAAGGGGGATGCCCTTCTAAAAGGCAGTATTTCTGTCACTACAGTTCACAAGTCAAGAAGCACGAGTCACGCTGCCAGCTCCGCGGGGGAACTAGAACAGCTATCACCCTCCCCTCTGCACACTTCTGAACGACCAGCTCCGGCCCTGCCTGCTGGTAAAAGCTTTCCTGAGAACTGGCCTAGTGAGATCCCCAGAAACGCTTGTTTGCGCCTAGTGCTCAACGTGGGGGTGGGGCGCAGGGGAGGGGGGCGAGGAA